TTATTCCTCAATTGGTTATCCCTCAATTGGTTATCCTTCAATTTGTTATTCCTCAATTGGTTATCCCTCAATTGGTTATCCTTCAATTGGTTATCCCTCAATTCGTTATCCTTCAATTCGTTATTCCACAATTGGTTATCCCTCAATTGGTTATCCTTCAATTGGTTATCCTTCAATTGGTTATCCTTCAATTGGTTATCCCTCAATTGGTTATCATTCAATTGGTTATCCCTCAATTCGTTATTCCACAATTGGTTATCCTCCAATTGGTTATCCCTCAATTGGTTATCCCTCAATTGGTTATCCTTCAATTGGTTATCCTTCAATTGGTTACCCCTCAATTGGTTATCCTTCAATTGGTTATCCTTCAATTCGTTATTCCACAATTGGTTACCCCTCAATTGGTTATCCCTCAATTCGTTATTCCACAATTGGTTATCCCTCAATTGGTTATCCCTCAATTGGTTATCCCTCAATTCGTTATTCCACAATTGGTTATCCCTCAATTGGTTATCCTTCAATTGTTTATCCCTCAATTGGTTATCCCTCAATTGGTTATCCTTCAATTGGTTATCCCTCAATTCGTTATTCCACAATTGGTTACCCCTCAATTGGTTATCCCTCAATTCGTTATTCCACAATTGGTTATCCCTCAATTGGTTATCCCTCAATTCGTTATTCCACAATTGGTTATCCCTCAATTGGTTATCCTTCAATTGGTTATCCTTCAATTGGTTATCCTCAATTCGTTATTCCACAATTGGTTATCCCTCAATTCGTTATTCCACAATTGGTTATCCCTCAATTCGTTATCCCTCAATTCGTTATTCCACAATTCGTTATCCCTCAATTGGTCTTTTCTTCTGTTGGCGGAATTGTCTTTTTAATATCGGATGCTTTAAATTTGGACCTGGTTATTCCTCATTTTAAATTTAATGAATGTTTATAGGTGAATCAATGGAAATGGCTGATTCTCTTTATGGATGGTATTACTACTCTTCTAAATATGTCGACTCCATTCAAGCTTTCAAGGTAAAATTCTTTAGTTTATAAATATAACAGTTTATTACAGAATTAAAAAAAACATGGAATCGTCTTGGTGAACATAACATCAATAAAATATTGAGATAGGGTATGCCTACCCTTATAGAAAACTGTGGATCTGGTATTTTGAACTTATTATTCTGAGATTTTACAGTACTAATTATAGTTTACTATATACTATGGATTGTAGTTACTAGTATTTTACATCCTGATATTCTGCTAGAGGCATATTTTGCAAGTTTTTTTTTAGTATAACATTGTAAAGTTTACGATGTATTAACTCAATAATGTACAGTATAGTTATAGCTTCAAATCATCTTTTAACTACATTATCATTTGTTTGTTTATGTAATATCATTTGTTTGTTTATGTAAAATATAATTTGTTTGTTTATGTAAAATATTTTGTTTATCTCATTATTTTATAACCAAAGATAATGTATAAATATAGCTGGTAAAAATTCAGTGTATTTTGTTTTAATTTGACTAAATGATATAAATTTATTTTTGTAGAAAATGGGTTTAAGAGTGATGACGAATCTTCAAGTAGAATCCCGACCGTGTTCCTATTCTCATCCCGTTGTCTATGATTCAGGTAAATCCCCTTCTATAAACTGATATGGTTTTTATTTATTTAAGAGAACTAAGAAATAATATACTACTTTATAGAATACAATTAATATAATTATTACAGGCGACGTTTCAACTAGGGTTCT